TTTTTATACCAAATAGAATAGAATTAAGAGTATGTCTACAAAAAACCGACCTCAATTATAGTAAAATTCAGTTATTTTGATTTAAAAACTGAACCACTAAATAAATTTTGATAAAATTCCTATGAGACCAATTTGTATTTTTTTTTATACAACTTAGAATGGCAAACAAGCTGACGGCCCAACTGATGGAAAGTGGTAACCGTCGCCTATAGACATAAGCAGTACCATGGACATAACAGAGTATACTGTTTCGCTCATGATTCCCCCCATGCGTTGCCATTCCTGAGGACTCAGATGTTATTCCTCTGTACCCAGTAAATATATACTTAGGATTATTCTTTTGGATAAAAAAAGAATTTTTCAAATCAATTTACAACTGACGGACCTATGACGTCACAAACATTGAAAAAACCATTCAGCCGAATTGAGAAACTACTTCTTTTTGAAGTCAATTGACAAAATAGAAATAATCTTTACTCAATTAGACTTGTTTACAATCTCCTTTATAACAACATTTTTTAACATTCTACCACTGGGTTTAAAACGTTGTTGTTTATTGTAAAGAACCCGCAAGAAACTAACAGTTACTCTGTTTCCGTCTCTTTTAAATTTATTTATGTACAAGATAATTTTACATTTGTATAAGAAATGTGGCTATAATCAGCATTGCGTTTTATTTATATACATTATTCAATGAGAAATATACAAGCAAACATGAGCAGACCTATACCAACAAGTAACACCCATTCACGAGTATGACGGATAAGTCCAGCCGTCATTGCACTCACCCGTATTTTACCAGAGGGAGACTTTGTACAAAAGTCGATTGCTTGGGTACCTCTGTCCCATTCGTGTTTCTACCGTCAAGCAGTTGTGTTTGCATGGCTGTTTCGGTTTGAAGGATGGGATATGGCGTGAATTTACTGGGTACAGAAGAATAACACCTGAGTCCTCAGGAATGACAACGCATGGGGCAAAACATGTATACTCTGTTATGTCCATGGTACTGCTCATGTCTATAGGCGACGGTTACCACTTTCCATCAGGTGAGCCGTCAGCTTGTTTGCCATTCTAAGTTGTATAAAAAAAAAGATAAATTAGTACATCATCATTTCAGCCGTTAGCTGTCCACTGCTGAACATAAACCTTCCCCATAAAGGGCGTTTTACCAGTAATTATCACGCTTAACAGGCGGATTGGCAACCGCAGTTAGAATTTTAGAGATGTTTTTATTCTTTTTTTTTATATTTTAATGCAATAATTACAGGTTTAACTTTCATGTTATTAAGTCGAAAAACTCGACTAGTTTCAAGACCATTTTGGACTCTTAATCGTGAACGGCTGTGACGCGATCGCGAGCCTGGCTGCGCGCCTCAGTCCACTGAGCGCTCGCGAATCGAGACAAATCCCGCTTTATTTTGAAAGTAATCGAAATCGAAATTGATAATGTACATGTAAAGTTTTATATAAATTATTCGAATTTGACCTACTAGGTAAAACATTAAAATATGTAATTTATAGGCAAATTTTGAATACCTCTTATTATATTATTGTAATTTTCTTTATAGATCTCTATTTTTTTTTTCAAAAATAATATATAGCCTATTTTCATCATCATCTTCCTACCCTTGTCCCAATTATTATTTGGGGTCGGCGTAATATGTTTTTATCCATATTACAAAAAGATTTAGCTTTTAATTTTACGACCGGCCGCCTGCATGATGTCAACCCTCTGTGGGGAATATCTATATATATATATATATATATATATATATATATATATATATATATATATATATATAGGCTATCCTATTTTACTCGCTGATAATATAGCTTTCTTTTAATAAAAGACTTATTAAAATCGGCTAAATAGTATTTGAATTTATCTATTACAAACCAAGTATCAAATCTCTCCCCTTCATAATATTAGTGTAGACGGCTAGACTCGTACTATTTCACGTCCACTCGCGACAGTTACTACTTTCTATGAGATAAACCGTGAACTTGCCGCCAATCTCGATAGAATGAAAAAAACAGCTTCAAAACCGCGATAAAAACCTTACAATTGCATAACATCGTAACGTGACTTTCACCGTGAAACGGCAATGTGGTCATCGGATAATTTACACCGGAAAGGTTCTGTTCACACCGCAAGTTTTTTTTTGGAAAATAAATAAATAAATGTTACCTAACGAACAACTGCTGATGCATACTGCATTGTTCGTGGACATTTCACCTGATGTTGTTTAGATGTATACTTTCTGTCACTGAATATCGTTTGATGATAATTTTTATAAATGAACGTTACGATGTTTAAAACAGCGATAATATATTTTTTTATGTAAATGACCGCCATATTTTATTTTATTTAATAATATTAATATACAGTCTAAAGGTTGCATAACAAACTGAATGCCGCAGTACTTATACAGTAAATACATGCTAAGTAGAAATGATATCCCATTTACAAAAATCATAAATTCTACCATAAATCCTAGCCTAACCATACATACAAACAGTTTTTTTTAAACAACTTAGAATGGCAAACAAGCTGACGGTCCACCTAATGGAAAGTGGTAACCGTCGCCTATAGACATGAGCAGTACCATGGACATAACAGAGTATACTGTTTCACCCATATTACTCCTCATGCGTTGCCATTCCTGAGGACTCAGGTGTTATTCCTCTGTACCCAGTAAATTCACGCCGTATCCCACCCTTCAAACCGAAACAATTTAGATCACACATTCAACCAAAAATTCAGAAGAAAACAATATATACATGCATATATTATTATTTGTCCTTTAAAAATATTATCTTCTTTTTTCCGTGCGGTATGTTTCAATGTGAATGGGGCCTTACGTGAATGCTTGCTCCAACTATAATTGATTTTCTTATTCTAGCTCAGTTATTACAAACACTTTCTATTCTTATTAATCATTGTGGTTGTGTGTGTTGTTCAATGATACCATGGATAGGCATCGACTCTATAAATATCAACAAATTAATAAATTAAAACTACAAATAGTATGACTGTAATTTTTTTTGCAACTTAGAATGGCAAACAAGCTGATGGCCCACCTGATGGAAAGTGGTAACCGTTGCCTATAGACATAAGCAGTACCATGGACATAATAGACTATACTATTTCGCCCATGATGCCCCACATTCCTGAGGACTCAGATGTACCCTCTGTACCCTGTAAATTCACTGCCGTATTCTATCCTTCAAACTGAAACACAGCATGCAAACACAACTGCTTCACGGTAGAAACACGAATGGGACAGAGGTACCCAAGCATTCGACTTTTGTACAAAGTCACCTTCTGGTAAATTATATGTGTATATACCGCTACTGATAGCCTTCGGCCATTTTTATTATTGTTGTATCTTTTTTACGTTTTAAATTGTTTTATGGCCAATAAAATAGTCTTTATTCGATTCTATTTATATACAAATATATTTTAATACCATGTCCGTCTCCATTAATTCATGAGTAAGAAATAAAAAATGTCCTACGTGACTAGATAAATTATTTCTAGATTTCATACAAAGTATACTACATTTATGCTAAATAAAATAACAAATGATTGAACTATTAGCTGATTTTGGAGGAAACAATAAACAGTATCTATCTATTAAAGGACTAAAGTTTAACAGAAAAACAAATGAAATACAAAGATCTTTGAGTGGTGATTTTATATATGCGAATACGATTCGATCTTCCCAGACAGTCTCGACCGATTACAAGCGCTTTTTTCTATATGGAACAGTCCTAAGCCACTTATATGCTTTGCATCATAAAAATTGACTATTCAAAAAATATAAGGGACTTAGAACTGTTCCTTATGATTATCTATGTGAAAGGGCTATCTCAAATATATTGCAGAGTTATTGCATTTGACCTAAGAATTTTACTTTTTGAAATCATTCGATGGAATTGATAAGCGATATAGATTCAATACGCTGTACCGTCGTGCTCTGTCCATAGCTATATATGAACGTAATATATGAACATAAGCTTCCCCCTTGGGTGGTTTTGCCAGTAGTTCCCACTCTTGACAGGCGGGTTGACAACCGCAATTAGATTTTAGAGATGTTTTAAGAGGGATGCTACTGCCCATCCCTCGCTTTACCTTAGCCGTTTCTTACGACACCCACGGAAAAGGAAGAGGTGGCCCATTCTATGCCGGGACCATATGACAACATCTGTGTAACTCACTGATTATATATAGTTTCTGTAGGTAAAGATTTTAAAATCGTTTGAATAGTTTTTGAGATTATTCATTACAAACAAACAAACGCATCTTTCCTCTTTGTAATTCTCTCGTACATAAAATGACGTGTTTTCTTAGAAAGCCACTTATTTGACATAACAAGAGCCGTATCCTCCATTCAAACATCTGGCATTCATTAAATTCTCTCTCATTCTCTATAATTAACGCTCCAACGAAAATATATGTATTGTTTAGCTGTGTTCTCTAATTGTGGGTGACACTCACAAATTTAATGGAATCCAACAAATTCATGATGATAATATTTGTAATACTTTATTGTATATATCATTCTTAGATTATATAGATAAAGCGTCGAGTCTCGAAAATGAGGCAACTTTTTGACAATTAGCTGATTCGTTTTTTTTTATTAATTTTTTTTTTTTATACAACTTAGTATGGCAAACAAGCTGACGGCCCACCTGATGGAAAGTGGTAACCGTCGCCTATAGACATGAGTAGTACCATGGACATAACAGAGTATACTGTTTCGCCCGTAATTTATCAATGTGATATCAATCGTTAACCATCCACTGTTGAACATAAGCCTTACATGGGAGCTGTAAATGGGCAACTGCAGTTCAACTTTAGTGATGTCTTAGGAGGGACGCCGCTGTCTATCTCTCGACCATTGTGTTCCCTTAGACGCCTCTTACGACACCCATAGAAAAGGAATGGGTATGACATATTTAATTTACTATAATTTAAAACCTATTTCTCTTTTCAGATCCAAGAGTACAAGGATGGTTCCTGTTCGATACACCGCTGCCTACGCTGGCGATGGTCATAGTCTACCTGTCAATCGTGATGGTCATAGGCCCTCTATGGATGACAAATAAAAAGCCATACAAAATACAAAACACACTAGTTGCTTACAACGCTGGACAAGTTCTCTTGTCATCTTATATGTTTTATGAGGTTTGTATAATTTTTTAATTACTTTTTTTTTTATTCAACTTAGAATGGCAAACAAGCTGACGACCCACCAGATGAAAAGTGGTAACCGTCGCCTACAGACATGAACAGTACCATGATACACCACCATGTGTTGCTATTCCTGATGACTCAGATGTTATTCCTCTGTACCCTGTAAATTCACTGTCATATCCCACCCTTCAAACCGAAATACAGTCATCCAAATACAACTGCTTCACAGTTGAAATACGAATGGGACAGAGGTATCTAAGCAAACGACTTTTGTACAAAGTCTCCCTCTGGTTATGAATGTTATAAGACAAAAGTATTTAGTAAAACAGTAATGCTATAAGTCAAAAATACTTCTGTGTAATTTAGAATGAAAAAAAAAACTACAGACCTGATAGGTAGCTGTAACTGTCGATAGACAGTCATCAGAGATTTTTTTTTATATTAAAAGGTCCTTCTATTGATCACAATCTCATCTGATGGAAAGCGATGACGTGGTTTAAGATGGAGCTCGAATAGCCACACTCACAGTTGCCTTAAATTTGCATTAAATATATTTGGATGGGAAAAACATCATACATTATACTGTTACGTCCATTATATGCCATTGTACCCTTCATGCGGTGCCATTTCCGACTGGAGTACTATATCTCTGTAAAACTCGAACACTGTCGTACAAAGACAAGTAGAACAGACTTACCTATGCAGACGACTTTTACAAAAGTCTCCAAATAGTTTAAATTTAACTTAAAATGGGAAAAACTGATAGCCCACTTGTTTAAATTGGTAACTGTGGACTATAGATATGAACAACACCATGATTTCCCCTTGCCATCAAATAATTAGTACTGAATAAGTTTTTTTTTTTTATTGGATGAAAATGGTATGGTAACCCCGCCTGCGCTAACGGGATACGCTGGCGGGGCACCAGTGCAGGGTGATAGGTGAGGATGAAAACAGGCCAGTTAGCCCATCATGATGAATTCATTAGGAATTAATCATGATAGTTTCCAGGGGGAACCGCGAGGAGGTCGACCTGGTTGGGTATATTGCTAGCAATGGGATTCTTAGTCTCCATTACTAACAATCCCTTTCCCCCTATTGAATAAGTTAGGTATGCAAAAAATATGACGATACTAATAAAATATTTAGTTAATTAATTCACTAATTAAAATAAACCTTATGTAGGTTAATTTTAGTCAACAAATTATGTTACGTAGGTATTTTAATGGGTATAAACTGTTTCGATTGTCCAGATTAAATCATCTACTTTCACATTAACGCCCCTAATATTGCTCATAGGCTACAGTAACTGCTTACTATCAAGGCCATATGCTTGTTTGCTATATTTAGTAGTATAAAATAAAACATTATCTATACTTACAATAAATCTGTAGAGAGTCAATTCTGTACATGAAATATATTTCCAAAATAACTATCAGGTGATAATTAGTGATCGATACTGATGCCAAAAATGCAATCAGGAAAATTTTTGTCTGTCTGTATGTTCGTTATAGAAACAAAAACTACCCGACGGATTTTACCGAAACTTGGTACAATTATTCATCATACTTCTGGGCAGGTTATGGTATATTTTCATTACGCTACGATCAATAGGAGCAGAGCAGTGAAGGGTATGTTAAAAATGTCCACCCGTGCGACGCCGGGATGGGCCGCTAGTATGTAATAAATGAATGAATGAGTGAATGCAAACTCTTTATTCCTCTTTAAAGAATGACATAAATTAGAATGATAAAAAGTCAACATATTTCTTTAATTTTCAACAGACTTCAAAAAGATGATTCTCAATTATTATTATTTTTTTTTATTTGAAAGGATATACTTATAGATTAGTTCCACAGTAAGTTTTATCAAAATGGGTTTAGTACTTTATTTTTTAATCTTCAAAATAACAGGTTTGGTCGCAATTGAAGTCAGTTTTTTTTTTATAGGACACGTTCTTTAATTTAATTACAATTTAATTAGACAATAATACGTATAATACAAAATTAATTAAATTTCTTCTTTTACTTTTAAAAGTTACCTAACAATTTTTGCACAGACCAACATACGAACAATCAAAAACGTCAACACAGTGTTGATAGCAAACAATGGTGCACTAAGATAATTTTCTATGTCAAGGCGGGTTGTTAACTCATTTGCCGACTTACTCAACCGATACCCGTGACATTAGGCTACAACAATAGGTTGTAGCGTAGTAAGATTGCATGTATTTTGCCTATCTTAGTTTGTTGATCAAATTTATAGTAGAATTCATGCTTACTATACAGTAGAAAGACTTCTTGTTCTTGATTATTTGTTTAATTCTGGAATTAAACAAAATAATTGTAATCAAACAACCAGCGGGTCTACCATGAAATGAAATTCCGAAATTTCGGACTCAATTTCGTGTTTTTGTTTATACCAAAATCGGACCAATAAATGGAGTTTAACATTTCGTTCGTCATACATCCTATCGTAAAAGTCCAAAGGAACAATATTTTAATAGTTTTAATATTTCCAAACAGCATGTATTATGTAATTTTAACATCAAATTTGTGTTTCGTTTGACTCCGAAATTAGGTAAGGTAGGCCCTTTGTAATATGGACTTCCGCAAGATAACACCTAGTTCAGTAAGATATCTTCTAGTTTTTTGATGTGATACAATAATTAAAACATGATTTTTTAAATTACATTTACATTTTAAGATTGTGTTCCATAAAAAATACCATTAATCATAGAATACACCGCATATAACTTTACCATTGAAAACTTTGCACCTACTTCGATATTTTGGTTCGAAATTTTTCATACACATTTTTGCTATTAAAATCCAAAAGTTTCATTGAGAATTGAATAAAAATATTTTTGCATAATTAATATTTTAGTGATAAGAAAGGATAAACAAGGTGAGCAGAAGCGGCAATGGGCTGCTCACATAGTTCGAAGAACCGACAACCGATGGGGAAGAAATGTTCTTGAATAGCGAGCGCGTACGTGTAAACACCGTATAGGACGACCCCCGCTAGATGGAGTGACGACCTGAAATGCTCAGGACCATTCTTTGTGGCAATCTATAGGGGAGACTTATGTCCAGCAGTGGACCGATAATGGCTGAAATGATGATGATGATGATGAACATTTTAGTGCATTAATCGATCAAAAACAATTAAAAATGTCTAGTCGTTTATGAAAATTTACGAATAAATCCGACGAGATTAGCGTACTTCGTTATGAATGTTCTTGAACTTGAGTCCAACATGAAAGTAAACACTATTATAAATACGAATGTTTGAGACGGATATATATTTGTTACTCGTTCACGCAAACTAAATGGATTTGAATAAATTATAGGACGCTTTACATACTGTTACACATGGTCGAAGCCGCAGGATATAACTAATCTATACTAATATTACTATAACGAGGAATGATTTGATTTTTTGTTACTTTGTTTATAATGGATAAATTCAGAAACTACTCATTCGAATTTTAAAATTATTTTATCTATAGAAAGCTGCATTATCAGTAACGTAGGCTAGTACATTATTTTCGAAGTTGGCCTGAATCACTGGTAGATCACGGGCTATAAAAATACATTTTAAATATGACCAGCGTCTTCCTTTTAGATATTTGCAAAAAAAAAAAGGAAAACTCTTAACATTTTCCAATATTATTTTTAAAACTTATTTTATTGATTTTTTTTAACTGTGTCTATATACATATATATTTTCATGTGATCCCGAACATAGAATGGGTCACCTCTTTCTTATCCGTGGGTGTCATAAGAGGCAATTAAGGGAACTTAATAGTCGATGAATGGACAGTGGAGTCCCTCTTAAAACATCTCCAAAGCCTAACTGCGGTTGCCAATCCGCTTGCCAAGCGTATTAAGTACTGGCAACCTCTCCCTCATAGAAGAAGCTTATGTTCAACAGTGGACAAGTAAAGGCTAATATGATGATAATTACATAGACATATACCAATATTTTTTTATACAATTTAGAATGGCAAACAAGCTGACGGCCCACCTGATGGAAAGTGGTAACCGTCGCCTATAGACATGAACAGTATACCATGGACATAACAGAGTATACTGTTTCACCCATGATACCCCATATGCGTTGCCATTCCTAAGGACTCAGGTGTTATATCTCTGTACCCTGTAAATTCACGCCATATCCCACTCTTTAAACTGAAATACAGCCATGCAAACACAACTGCTTTACAGTTGAAACACGAATGGGACCCAAGCAAACGACTTTTGTACAAAGTCTCCCTCTGGTGAGTATTTATTTATTTGTACTTCATTACACACAGATCACCGTAAAAGTTCTCTTTCAACAAACCCAACTAGTGACAATTTACAAACAAAAAAAGTTAGACAAAACTTAAAATTGTACACAGCCGATTATATTACCTACATCGTAACTCGAGATCAAATTACAACTCAGAAATCACAAGATTATCACTTTCCTATTAGCATGCGGAACCCGCGATGCGTGAAGTACGTTCACACTTGACCAGCTATCGGTTTTCGTAACAGCTGTCGTGTTCCCGAACTATCAGCGTAGATGAATAAGGCCAAGGGAATAGATTTGAATATTTTAATCAACATCATCATTTCTCTCATTAATTGTCCACTGATGAAATATCTCATAGACTTAGATTATATAGATAGAGTGTCACCATATAAATGCTTCACCAAAAACATGTCAACTTTTTTATCCACTTGTTCGTAAATAGGGTTTTTTAAAGGAATGATATTGAAATGGTAACCACACCTGCGCTAACGGAATACGCTGGCGGGGCACCAGAGAGGGATGATGGGTGGTAATGAAAAGACAGGTCATTTAGCCTATCGTGATAAATTCACTTGGAATAGAATACGATAGTTTCCAGGGGGAACCGCAAGCAGGTCGACCTGACAGGGTGTATTGCTAACAATGGGGCTACTAATCCCCTTTTTTAACAATCCATTATCCCCCTCGTAAATAGGGTTACCACAATGTACATTTTTTACTCAATGTATGAGAGAAATTGCAATGCTGCAAGGTTAAATTTAAAAATAAAACTGAAATAAAATATACTACATTTAAAAGACCAAGATTGCATAAGATTTGTAATATAAAATAAAGACGTAAAATAAATTTTCATTTTAAAGTATTTGAAATTGACTGCCTTTTTAAGACATGTATATTAATTTGTGAAGAATACGTACATAATTATATATGTTACATCAGAAAAATTTGTTTCCAAATCAAATTGCAGGCGTTCAAAACCGCTTACCTTCAGGTGGGCCGTTTGTTTGCCACCTCAGTGGTATAAAAAATTTTAAAAATCGACGACACTGGAATATTATTAATCCAATTACTTGCAACACTATAAAAATTTTGTATAAATAAAAAATATGTATCGAATTAAATCAGCAAAATGTCAATTTAGCTGACTAAATGTTTATACGTTTTTGATACTTCGTGCTCTATCTATATAATCTAACCTCACAGATTAGATAGAAATCTCAATACTTAATTCATAACAAAAAAAGGGATGTTATGAACTTGAACTTTTGTATGATTAGTCTATTGTATGTCTTTGTTTATTTATACAAAAATCGTCTGCTTGGGTACCTCTGTCCCATTCATGTTTCTGCCATAAAACAGCTATGCTGTTGCTATGTGAGATATGGCATATATGTAATATGGGATATAAAATTTCAGGGTATAGGAATACGACACTATAGTTCTCAGCAACGTAACATGTAAGGGGTATCGTGGGCATAATAGTGTATTCTGTAATGTCTTCGGTGCTGTTCATGTCTATTGAATTATATGACTAGAGGGAGGCTTTGTACAAAGTCATCCAATTGGGTACCTCTGTCCCATTTGTATTTCTGCCGTGAACTAGTTGTGTTTGCATGGTTGTTTCGGTTTGAAGGGTGAAATATAGCAATGAAATTACGAGTACAAACGCATAACACCTTAGTCCTCAGTAATGATAACGCATGAATAGTGTCATGGGCGACACAGTATACTTTGTTGTATCAATAGTTTATGCTTATTGGCGACGGTTATCATTTTCCATTAGTTGGCTGATATCTTGTTTTCCTTTCTAAGTATAATTTCCTTGCTAAGTATCAATCATCGGAAATTGTTAGTAATGGGGTTGCTAACAATGTCTAACAATTTCTTCTCACACCTAACACAACTGTTAGAAATAGTTGAAAATACTTTTTTCTTTTTTTTTTATATATGTACTATATATTATATATAAAATATTATATTGTTTTATTTATCGACAGCACTTAATGTCAGGATGGTGGGGTGACTACAGCATCGCGTGCCAGCCGGTTGACTACAGCGATAACGAGCAAGCGAGAAGGGTGAGTAGTAGTATTTATGCTATAAGGAATTTAGTATTAATATTTAGTAGTAAAAATAATAAACTTTTATTAACAAATACAGGGTTGCACTGATACATATTTTTACCCTGGCTTACAGATTAGGGTAACCTATGCTTTGTAAGTCAGTTCCTTCCAACACACAAGAACTTATTCTATATATTTGTACATGCAAAATTAACAATATTAAGTTGATGAGATTGTTAGTAATGCATACTACCAGCTCCATTGCTAGCAATATACTCTGTCAAGTCAACATCCACGTGGTCCTCTTTGGAAACCATGGTGCTGAATGCCAGGTATATTCATCACAATGGCCTAACTGACCTGCCATTTGATTCTCACCTATCATCCCTCACTGGTGCATCGCCAGCGTATACATTTAACGCAGGCGGGGTTATCATTCCATTACCATTATTTAAAAATAAAAAAAAAAACGGTTGATATCATGATCTATCTTTCCACATATTCTTCTTATTATTTTTCTTCAAATATTAGTGATTCGTGTGATGATAGATGTCAGGAGTGTTCTTCTCTAGAAATCTATCCGATTCTAGAATAAGGGCATACGGGTATGCGACCCCGGCCTCCCGAGCCGCTGCAGTGTCTCAGTTCTTTCGCAGCTGCAGTGTCCCTCCCCCTTTTCCTTTCCCACATAAGTCCCTTATTCCTTTCATTTACTAATTTCCATTAAGCATTTCCAACGTTCCCTTCCTTTTTTCCTCAATCCTTTCCTCCAAACTGTAGTTGGCGGAAACCACCAACAAATGCATTCCCAAAGAGGGTTGACGTCAGGCAGGCGGCCGGTCGTAAAACTATAAGCCAAATCCTTTAGTATTATGAATAAAACCATATTACGCCGACCTCAAATAATAATTGGGATAAGAGTAGGAAGATGATGATTAGTGATTCGTATTGTACGAGTATATAAATATCAGAGAGCATATTGTATAATTACGGTGAAACTTGGAGCGTGTTTTGCTTATATTATCTAGTTTACTCAACCAAGCATAATTCTAGCATTAATGCACTTAATCTGTATATACATATTTTATTTCATTTCTTATTAAAGGAAAACTAACAGCTAGAAAATTTCATAATATATTTTATTATAAAATTTTCTAGCTGTTAGATTAAGATACTAAATCATTTTATTAAAATATTTATTTATTTTACATTTTATTGCACCATTTATAAAATAGTAAATACAGTTAATTTTACTGAGAGGTGATACAAAAGGCGGCCTTATTGCTAAGCAATCTCTTCCAGACAACCTTTGGGTAGAGGACACTGAAAAAAAAAGGCAAAGGGCTCACTATTATACATACACTAATATGTACAAACATATATACATACATACAAATAAGTATATACATAAACATACACATACTTAATAGCTCACATACAACAGGAGAGAATAAAGGAGGAAGATGAAGAATGAAATATTAAAAAATTTGAATAGGAAATTTCATTAAATCAAGTCAAATTTATTTATAATCTATTATGTTGTAGTAAAATTGTTTAAATACAATAGTTAAAACTTAGCCACAAATACTTACAAGTGCTGAATTAGCTTTATTCGAGTATTGTATTACTCAAATATTTAATAGTCACTCAGATACTCGAATACTCAATATAGACAATTCGAGTACACAACATTCGAATACAGGTTTCGAGTACTTGCAACACTCAAATACTACTCACATATTTACCATGAATATTAAAGTTTTGTTTCATACTAGTATTTTCTTTTAATAGCCAAAGAAAAATTAAAATAATAAATCCGAGTACTTGTCCGAGACTTTAAATTCGAGTCAGGATTCGATTTTCTTTTATCGACTATCAAAATACTCGAATGCTGAAAAAGGCTAACTCGATAAATCGCTAAACTAAACTACCGAATTAAAATTACCGAATTAATCATATAATGAGTTGCAAAAAAATCTACAAATAAAACATTTAAATTTTACACCTACTCGGTATTTTACTTCAGAAGATTTTAAAAATATTTTTTTTCAATTCATTGATAGCTTATTAAGAATATACTGTGACAGCTAATTATATAATTCTCACTATAATGAGCTATCAGAGTACAAAAAAAAACTACTAAATGGGTTTGAATGAAATTTAGTACACCAAAATACTTTCTCCTAACTTAATACATAGGATACTTTACTGATTCACGCGGGCAAAGCTGCGAAATACAACTCTTTTATAATATTAGTATAAAGAAATCATTTGTAAAGTCCATTTTTTAAGCAAATTTAATTATTATTATTTTTTATACGTGCGTAAACCAAAACCTATCTGCGCGTGGATTCGTTCGACACTTGTCTAGGTTACAGGTGTGACTGTGCGTAAGAATGGTATAGAGTCAGCGAAAGTAACTCAGCTGCTAGACTGTATAATAAAATGAAACCAGTCTTATGTAGGTTTAGATTCAACGCCTAGAGAAGGTGGTCAATTATCGATCATTTATTGATACAAGTTCATATAGCCACAAAGAAAGCGACGTGTATACGTGTGTGAGTGTGTGTGCATTAACATACACGCACACACAAACAAACACTCTCACTCAAAAATATAAAATCGCCTTTTGTACTTCATATGTGTAATTTGTATATTTTTTATGGAATTTTTATTTTTTGGTGAAATAAAGACTTAAGAATAGATATATTTCGTAGATACTTTACATTGCAAATATTTGAATACACATAAACGCACAGCTCCGCGTTCATGAATAAATCGCGAAGTCGCATATTTGTGTGTAGATTTTATTTCGCAGCTTTTGTCACAAAATATATATACAATTATAATACTCATAGATTACTATATCTATTGAAAAAAGAGTTGTCAAAATCGCGTCAGATAGCAGCTAGAGACAAAATTTCGAAAGAAAAAAACACTCAGGTCAATTCTGAGTTGCTATTTCACTAAACTTATATCTTAAACTAATATTTTAATTTGGTAGTTTCACGATTAAACTGTTTTACAGAGCACCATAAACTAAATTTCTAATAATTTTGACTTAAATAAATTAGAAATTTAGTTTTTATTGGACCTTAGAATAAAGATTTCGCAGTGACATCAAATTGAAATTTTAATTTTAGGCATAGATTTAGAGAAATGCCGCCTCAGTTTCGATCCTAATTAAATTCAAATTCCGCATTCTAAATTCAAATATTTTCAATGTGGTGTCCACAGAACGTCTCAACATTAATCGGTGTGTGTGTGTTCATAATTTAAATAGTTTTTTTTTTCTTTTTTTGCTATGCAAAATGTATTTAATATCAAACTCGTTTGATTGATCACTGAACGGGTTTTCTAGGGCCTTAATTATTATAAATAGTGATAGTAGGTACTTTGTTCAGTGCTGTTGCATACGTTTTTTGTTTATACTTTCACATTTTACTGATGTTATTCATTCTATCATCTGTAGTATGTATGAGCTTCGTCTTAATATATACGCTACATATTTAACAGGAAATGAGTATTTGCTTAACGTGTTTTTTTAGGGATCCGTATGTCGAAGGTTAAAACCCTTATAATTTAAATAAAAAACTGGAAGTTTCCATTAAAAAAGTTTCCATTTTTTTTATTTCATGCAATAATTATTACAATAATTATGATTTTTATACTTTAATAATAGATAGATAAATTAATGGACAGACATAGATACATGTGCAAAAAAAGATAAAAGAATACATATACAAGAGAAAAGAAAACGCATAAAAGAAATAACATATTATTTGTTTCGCATGAAACAAATATACCAAAGTAACATAAAATGGTCACAACTCAGTTTATTGCTTTACCCTCAAAAGAGCAAATCACATATATTCTATTGTTGCCAAAAGCCAGCCGCGAAGTTACTTAGCAACGTGAAATATAAATAAATAATATAATCATATTTATAAAATTTAAAATTAAAATCATATAAATTATTATTATTATTTATGTGGACAGTTACTGACTAATAGTCAAAATTAAATTACTAACGAACGCCATCTAGAGGATTTTTTTGACAAAATGTCCGACATCAATTTACTTGACAGGTACTTTTCACGTATATCGTCTTGTAACTCGTGAACTGTCCATTGCTGATTACTAGCCTTTATCGACATTACTTGTTATCAGTCTGTATTATGAAAAATCTGTCAAATAATTTGACTCTCTCAATCTCAGTGAGTCAGTCTGAGAGAGTAAAATTATTTGACACGGTTATAAAATTTCCTTGTAAAAATGAACTGTGCCTCAAATTACAAATGCGGCTCGCACTTGACTCCTTTTTTTACGATACAAGGTATAGTAGATATAGAAAGTAACGCTTTACAGAGATCGTCATATTCGCGAGATGACCATAGATTAGAAAAAAACTTATTGCCCAGATATTACGTGAACAATAGTTAAAAGCATATGATTATAAATTTGGCTATTTTATTATACTTTTTTATGTACAATTTTGACAATACTTTTATAGTAGACATTAACTGCAGAGAAATGTTTTTTTTTTTGTCGTTACTTTTTTTATCGGCGCAATCAATCAATCAATCATTTATTTGCATAAACATAAATACAGTTATACATTTGATTTTGTAGAATATACAGAGCGCTATGTTTTACCATCATTAGGCGTAAACAGATTATTATTATACACAAGTAGTTAACTTGAGAAAAAAAAACAAAAAGATATTTTTCTGATAACTATTGTATAACTGATAATATTGTAAAAAATCACTTAAAATCTATAAGTACAATTATTGTCATGAATTTCATTTGGCCCTTCTTGTCTCTTAGAGACATTTTGCTTTCAGGCAACTAAATAAATACCTTTCGCCTAGTAATAATCTATGTTCTATAGTGTCGGTCAAGTTCGCTCAATTATTTTTCATCTCTCAAAGATATTTGCTGGCAGGCAACAAATAAATACCTATCACCTACTAATACTTTGTATCCCGTAGCATAGGTCAAGTTCACTTAAT